GCTCTTTAATGTTTTTATTAATCATCTGGATGCAGGAGTTGAATGTACATTAAAGTTCGCTAGGAGGAGCTGCAGATTCCCCCAAGAGCAGAAAGGCAATATAGAGAGATCTGGATAGACTAGAAAGCCAATGAGATTGGCTATGAAATCAACCTTATGAAATTTAACAAGAGCAAGTGCCAGATTCTCCACCTGGGATGGGGTAATCCTGATTACACATACAAACTGGGAGTCAAGAGACTGGAGAGAAGCCCTGCGGGAAGAGATCTAGGGGTTTGGGTTGATGGCAAGTTGAATATGAGTCAATGGTGTGCCCTGGCAGCCAAAAGGGGCAACCTTGTCCTGGGGTGCATCAAGCACAGCATAGCTAGCCAGTCAAGGGAGGTGATTGTCCTCCTCTACACTGCACTGCTGCAGCTCCACCTGCACTACTATGTGCAATTTCAGGTGCCTCAATATAAGAAAGATATCAAACTGTTAGAGTATGTCCAGAGGAGGGCAACCAAGATGGTGAAAGGTCTCAAGGGGAAGACTTGAGAGGAGCAGTTGAGGTGACTTGGTTTGTTCAGCTTGGAGAAGACAAGGCTGAAGGGTAACCTCATTGCACTCTACAACTTCATCAAGGGAGGGCAGTAGAGGTAGGGGTGCTGGTCTACTCTCTCTGGTGACCAGTGATAGGACACAAGGAAATGGAATGACAGTGTGTCAGAGGAAGTTCAGATTGGACATCAGGAAAAGGTTCTTCACTGAGAGGGTGGTGGGCCACTGGAACAGCCTCTCCAGGGAAGTAGTCACGGCACCAACTCTGTCAAGAGTTCAAGGAGCGTCTGGCTGATGCTCTTAGTCTTGCAGTTTAGTTTCAGGTAGTCCTGTGAGGATCAGGGAGTTCGACTTGTTGCTTATGGGTCCCTTCCAACTTGAGATATTCTATGATCTTTACCAGGAAGCCCTGCTCTACTCTCAGGGCCTTGATGGTACAGGCTCAAAGTTAGTCACCAGGACTTCCAAGTTCCCCTATCATCACTGAAGCTGGGCAGCTCAGTACCTCAGCTTTGCAAGTACTACTGGCAGCACTATCCATTTTCAACAGTGTAATTAATAACTAACATCTGCTGCATGAAAGAGAGCAAACTAGTTGTTATCCAGGATTATAAATCTGAAAGACAGGTATATGGATTCTTGCATAAGGATTCTCTAAGTACCAATGGACCTTCAAATATATTTGAGTACCAAGAACACCTGCTATTGAAGCTATTAAATGACTTGTGTAAATGAAAATTTTTAAAATAATTACATCTGTCAACTTAGCTTACATCATCGCATTCAAACCAAAACTAAACAACTCTTTTTGTTGTTTTGTTCTGTTTTTGTTTCACTGCCAGCTTCTTCCGTGACCCTGGCTAATCAATCCCTTCACAATTCAGTTTCATCCTTAATTCAGGATGCATTTTTTGCCACTGTTAGGGCACTGCAAAGCATAACACACCTTCGGATGACATACTGCAAACAGTATGTCTAAGGAGCACCTCCATCCCTGCAATGCAACTTTTCCTTTAACTAAGTAACATATTTAGAAAGCTGATCTTTTAGGCAAGGCTTTGAGTTCTATAAATTACAGTTATTTTACACTTTCAAAAATATGACACAATATTTCACACCATTTTCTTAAGATCTGTCATGTAATATAATTAAGGTGGCAATACCTGCCCCTATGCAAGCATGTATTGTCAATATCTAGAGTTGCATGATCATGCAGAGAAATACACAGAGTCATAAAAGGGAACAATGCATCTCATTCTAAGAGAAAGAGGAGGACAAAATTCTGTAAGTGTACATCACACATTTATTACTGAACAACTCTCTCAACTCCAAAATTGGGCACAGGGATTAAAAATAAAAATTCATTGCACTACCTAGTAAAGCATTACTAGTAACTCTTGTAAAAAATGTACAAATTTTGTTAAAAATTTATCAAGCCTTCAAACGATCTGGTTACAGATACTTGTAATACATTTTAAACTACATGTTAAATGATACAAGAGAGTATGATTTAAAGAAAACACTTGACAAAGTGTAATTCCAACAAAACCCATAAACTTTCATAATCATTAGGAAATCTGAAACACAAGTAACAAAATGAGGTAACAAAGTACCAAAGAAAAAAACACAGCTTTTACAAAGGCCCAACGATAACTCAGTCAATAATGTGTTCTCTATAATTAAAATTAAAAGATTGGTAAATCTCATCCCAAGTACAACACAATGTGTTAACAGCTGTGAAATCACACTCAAGAGCCTGTACAAAATGGCATACAACCAAGGCTTTAATTTTTTGTAAAGCCAGCCAAAAAATGAGACATTGGAATTACCTGTAGACCTTGATATCCACTAAAATGTCAAATCAAATTGACAGTTTATGCAGAACACACAGCAGTGCCAATGAGTTTCTTTTTGGAGAAGACAGGCAGGTGATGGTAGAAATGTAACGAACATAAAAATAGTCTTGCTGAATTTAGGTGCTGCAAGGCACCATGGCAGGCTGTGGAATTACACACAAATGTGCATAGCACATGGCAGTCAACATCTGGACAGTAATCCCCGACCCATGACAGCCACAACAGAGAGGACTTGGTTGTAGCTTGTCTGAGCTGATCCAGAACATACAAACGTGCGCTGTTTATACACACTAACCACAGGAAGCAAGTCCACGTACTCTGCAAGAGTCTCATGCAAACAAAAGAACCATTCCAGAAGAGATGAGCTGTAAGAGTGCAATGATTAATTTCAGGATTTTACCAACTTAGACCCTCTGTCTCCTAGATCACCCACTGCCTCATAAGAGTTTTACTTGGGAAAAAGAGACATGACACATGATTTCAGAAGAATGTCTTGTTCATTTGTATCTAGCTCAGAAAAAGTGCTCTCCTTCCATGCTTCAAACTGAGCTGAGCACAGTAATGTTAGACTAAATCTGTACACAGATTTTTTTCTTTTGCAGCTATATAAAAGAGCCTAAGTTTTGTAAGACATACGTGGCACATGCTCTTTAAACAGCATAATTTTGTTAAAAAAATAATTTTTATTACACGTCATTCAACCTGCTAGGTGTTATTGTGAAAAGCCTGTTCTTTAAATCCCCTGGAAGAAAGAAGAAATTCTAGTATTTCAAAGTTGATGTAACAGAATTTTTATTTATTTAGTGTTCTTAAGTATGGATGGGTATGGAAAGAAATCACTGTTTTTGAGAACTATCTACATAACTAAACACAGGGAAGAGCATCTGAAATAGGGAAAAATTGTGCTTTTATTTTATCTGTACCAAGAGCTGTGACTGGTCTGTAGAAATTCCAAACAGGGAAATCAGCATGGAGAACTTCTAACACTGTTTGAAATTATGACTGATACTAGCATAGCAGCATATAAAAGCATCAGAAATGATAAAGAATAAACTTAGCAAAGCTCAGACTAGCAAGTTGCAGCAATATTGCTAATTATGCCACTTGTGCTGCTGCAACCAAAGTAATGACACGGAATTTAGGATAAGAATTTTGTTGCAAAAAGTGCATCCTTTGAATAACTATATGGCATATGTAGACCTAAATATTTTGCTAGAACATATTGAAGATGTTAACAGTCTGAATGGTATAAATGAAGCTAATTTTTTTCAATAGCCTAAATAAAACATTATTCAGAGCACTTGAACAGAGGTTATCACATCCTATTTCACAGCACTGTACTGGAAGGTGTTCCAATTTTCCCCTATAGTGGAGTGCTCTGGAAACTTAACTGCAAAAACCGAGGAAGTTTCCTCTTCATATTACACTTATCATGAAATAAGGAAGGGCACGCAGCAGCATCAGGGCAACTAAATTCTGCAGTGTGTGACCAAAACCCACCTCCTCTTGTGATAAAATGAAAAAAATCCGTTCTATTTCTGTGAGAAAATACTAAAAGTTTTATTTTACTCATGAAGTTGCAGGAACAAAATCGTAACCTTTCACAGGTTATTTCAGTTGTATACAAACTCCCTTGTAATGACAAAGAATGTATGTGATTAAAGCCAATGTTTATAAGCTAAAAGATTATGTCCTTAGCAAGTACAACAGCCGAAAGTGAAGAGCTGTTGCACAAGACCTTCCGTGTCCTTTCTGCTTCCTTTCATGGAAGAGTCACAGAATCCCAGAATGGTTTGGTTGGAAGCGACCTTAAAGATCAACTAGTTCCAACCTCCCTGCCACAGGCAGGGAGACCTGCCACTAGATGAGGTTGCCCAAAGCCTCATCCAACCCGGCCTTGAACACCTCCAGGGATGGGGCATCCACAACTCCTCTGGGCAACATGTTCCAGTGTTTCACCACTCTCATTGCAAAAAATTTCTTCCTTATGTCTAATCGAAGCACGTAACTGGCAAACCCAGCTAGAAAAATTTAAAAAGAGAACAGAAGAGCATTGATACTCATATTATGAAATGAAAATGTTAATAATATTGCTAAACGATTTGTGCGATATTGCAACTTTATATTGATAAAATAACTTATAAATCGGCCATTTAAAAATCCAGACTTTGCAACATATGCTAAAAACCCCATGGTCACCCATGTATGAACAATCAATGCACTCTTTAGTGGTACACATTTAAAGCCTCCAAGGAAGGGGAAGCATAACAGCTGTTCGAATGGTAGCTAGAAAGACCTTTATACCTGTAAGTAGATTGGGGAGGAAATTACTAAATGTCTGTAATTGCTGCACCCATCGCATTCAGTGTGCAACTGCAAACACAAGGAAAGGAACCAGTGTACAGTACTAGTACTGTTTAAATAACACACAAGATTATACATTGCAGCATAATTATTACTACACGCATACGTTCTCGGTACATGCTGGCATACAGGTTCTCAAACACACATGCACACTCAGTCACAAGCACACTTCACGCATCCTCTCACAAGCAAACGCACGTTTACACCATTCATTCCCACTTACAGTATCTGAAGGCTCTATATAAGGTAGATTGCTATATTGTTTGGAGCTACCATTTTTTTTTTCCTTTTCTTTTATATAAAAGCACATGCTAAAAGATCACATCCACAGTAATCTCGCAGCAACACTCGGAATGATCACACAAAAACCAGGGAATGTTAGTGCACACACAAAATTAAGCTAAGGAAAAAAAAATCTTTGGAGTTCCAATCACACACTGTTAGTATAACAATCCCGTAACTGTGAAGACTAGCGATAAGCTTTGTAATTGATTACGTCACACAGTGCAAAGTAAGGTCCATTGACCCTTTTGTGTAAAAGGTAGGCTGGAAGCCACATGGGTAAGTTCAATAGATAGTTCATATATACATGTGACCAGGAACACTCAAAACAGATTTCTGCTCTTAGATTGGTCATTCTGAATCACGATGCACCTCCGAAGCATCAGCTCTACAAATTGGGCAGGTACGATTTGCCTGTAAAACCAGAAACAAAAGAAGATTTACTGTACTGACAAATACATTGTTAAGGTAATGTGCTTATGACACTGAACATCTGCCACCATAAATGAGGTTGCTACCTCATTTTTGTCGATTACTACTGTTATTACTATATTATATCATAGTTACTATTGCTTTACAGTTTTTTGCAAAGCATGGATTAAAGAATCAATTCAAGAGTACTCAAAATAAGAAAAGACAAAGTATGTTAAATGGTGTGATAATTTTGTGACCTCAGAATGATGTTTTTTTTTAAAAAAGTGCCTTTTATCTTTAAAAATGAAGAGCAAACTAGGCTTTATCCAAGCGATGGTGGTTTTGTTAATGTAGATTCATAGTTACAGTATATCGCAATCAGATGGATGCAACTAAGAAGCTGCACTGTGAGCTGCAGAGAAACCCACCAAAACCAGACTAGCAACCTTGGGCTGTAAATAAATGTCCTATATGAGGGTGTCATGTTGTCACAAGCTCTACTGATCAGGGATCACATCTCTTCATACTCTATATTCAGCTATTCTCACAGAAACCCATCCTATAGACCTGGTCAAAGACGAAAGCAGACTAGGGAAAAAGGGAAGGGGTTTTAGTAAAGAGAAAGGGAAAAAAAAAACAACCCCCAAACAAAACCAAGAGGCAGATGATCTGATGAAACAGATACTCAAGTAACACACACAAGCAGGTCTAAATTTAGCCTTGTAGTAGAAAATATGTCCTGATACTCTTTTATAGCTTTCTTAAAAAGATAAGACTGGTGAGAAGTAACATTCCTAAGTTTCTGGGAAAGTATTTCTGCCTTCACATTCCCCTTTTCAAATAAAGGCTGATTTCATTTTAGCAAATGGTAGGAAAAAGCCCAAAACAACTATGCAACATCTATGATGAAACATTTCCTTCTCAAAGGGCAGAGCGAAGAAAACTCTTCCCTGCCTTAAATTCTGTATTTCATAGTTCCCAAAACTGCAGCACCAATCATGGTCAACTCCAAGTTTTTCTACGGTAGCCAAATTTTTCAATGAAAATACAACAAGTGAGAGCATCAAGAAATGTGGCTCTACGGGCGAAAGTTCAGAAATCACTGCCACAAATTTCAAATCCAAACAATAAATGCCAATTAAAGTAATATGTTATTACTGAAAAACATTATTTAGTAAGGCAAGTTAAAATTAGGGTATATTTTTTTTGTCGATTACTACTGTTATTACTATATTATATCATAGTTATTATTGCTTTATAGTTTTTGCAAAGCATGGATCAGAGAATCAATTCAAAATTTATTTCTTGCTCTTTCACTAGCAGTTTTGGAATTACTTGAGGACAATGCCATTACTTGGTCACTACTTGAATTATTCTAGATATAATTCAGCTAGTACAATTTTAAAAATAAAAAGTCATGTTTTTCAAAATCCAATGGATTAATGAATCAAGAGGTATTCACTTATATAAATAATTAAATATCTACCATTTGAAGCATGAAACAGAGCATTCAGTGGTAGTAACTTCCTGATAGGAATCGTAGAAATAAATCCACTGTGCCAGGATAAAATGAATCTCATGGACACTGCAACACTGCTTTCCAAGTCACTTTCCAAGATCCTACATGAACACCTGTTTTCAAACTAGTTGCATTCTTGTGCCTTTCATGAAATTCATTCCCCTTTCCTGGCATTTAACATGACTCTCTGGTGCAAAAAATGGAGTAAGGCTGACATAGTATTGTAATATTGACTTTCTAACTAGCCAATCTTTCAGGAAAACTTACTTTTTGTACTACAAGGAGAATGAGCTGCACAATGAACTAACAAATTTTTTTTTTTTTTTAGTATTTTACACAAGTTTATAGCTAAAGCAAAGTGCATTTAGAATAATGAATCTATAGCGCTACTAGAATCCTCTAAAAATCATTGCGCTATAGTTACAGTTTGTCTTTTCTCGTATATAATACAGCATTTCCTATGAGAACGTTAAATAAAAAGGCAAGTCTTCTCTGTTATCTGGTTCTAAACTCAGGGTGAAGACAGGTCATGTTTTCAAGCTGTCCTTTGGAATGATGACTAACTCTTACTTTACAAATGAACAGATTTCTCATATATTCATATTTGATTTAAGGATTTGTGATATTAAGAAATAACCAAATACTGTGAAATACGAGAGCTGACAATAGTATGAAAAGCAAAAGGGCAAACTCCCTCTTGTTAACTGTCTCCTCCATTGTATTACATTTTCTTTCACAAGTCTTTAACCTTGCTTAGCCACGGAAGTATAAATTAAAAGTGGGCAACCTAAAGCACTGTGAAAGAACATTCCCTCTCACTTGCTCACATGACCTATTAAAAGTGGCATTGTACATAGCATTACACTAGCAGGGCAGATCAAACCTTTCATGCATAGAAAAGCCACAACATTTTCTTAGATAGTTTTTTTTTTTTTTCTCCATTATCACCAACAGGCAGTGGAATAAGGATAATTTAAAAAAAAATAATCAGATGTGGTCACTAACCTCTTATTTAAATCTTTCACTAACAACATGGTGAAACTTAAAAAGAATCAACTTGACTCCGTATTTCTAGAACTAGTTCTAGAAATATTTGTAGATAGCAAATACTTTCTTCAAAGAGGTACGATTAAATCAGTAAAACACAGGGAGAAACTGGTAGCTTTTTTCTTTTTTTACCTTGTAGAAAAGAGTTACAAGTACCGAAAGCTACGATTTTTACCTTCCGTTGTAGAATTTATCAACATGATGTAGGCTAGATGATGTGTATTAAGTGGATGTGGACATAACTATACCACCAACATATACAACAAGTTGTCAAACACATAAAGGAATGGACAGAAGCAAAACTATAGCCCAAAATATCTTCCAGGTACCCTCATTTCCAGATGTTTCCTGCTTAGCTGTAAACAAGTTTAGACAAAGACTGGAACTAAAAGAGGCTGGTGTTACAGGTAATTCATTATAGTTTGCAAAGCAAAATAATCTTTATTTCCATACACTGCCTTTGTACCAGTGTAACTAAAACCAAATGGTGTAAATATATTGCCTTAGCAATCCTACAGTATGATGCTTTAAGCTTGTCTAGCTTATTTTGCATCCAGCTCTGGAATACACGATGTCAATACAAGCAGTTTTAGGTGGGTATAATTGCACCCCCTTTACAGACTGCAGATTTTTCACCTCATTGCCCCACGCAGCTGACACTCTTATGCTCACAGAGTTTTTCTATGATAAGAGCTTTAAAAAATACTACATGTGAAGGTCTGTTAAAAATACATAGTTTCTAAGCTGGTACAGGAGCATCAGGAAAAAAATCTGTTTCACCACTACTACAGTACATCTATGATTATGAAAATAAAGACTAAATTAAATCTGCTTTTTTCACTCTGCTGTTCGGAATTCCATTGCCAGTTTACTACCAGTTGAAAGCACTAAATCTAATTGTAGAACTGCCACACTGAGTCCCACAAAAGCTTAATTCAACATACTTGTCTGACTCTTGAGACCAACATCAGGTAAGAAAGAGCATAAGGACAGGACAAGCATACTTCCCGGACATGCTCTTCTAACTTCCAGCAATCTGCAGATCAGGGGCTTTATAAATCAGAGGGATATTTTTTTGCATTAATAGCCTGGAAAGAGCCATCTTCTTAAAAATCTAGATAATCAATTTAACCTATACAGATCTATACCATCCACTATCTCACAGGCTGTGTCAAATGATATTAGTTCTTTTTTCATAAAATGGAATCAATACTCTCCCTGGATACTTTGTCCACACAGCAAATGACTTACAAAGTTTCACACAATGAAAGACTTGACAAATCTAGAGTGAACACTCCTCAAGAGGAGTAGACGGACGCTGGAGAATAACACTTGAACAGATACAATCTACTTTTAATTTGCAGTTACTGAATAAAACAGCATAGATCTAGCATAGATATATTGACAATATTATGAGAGGGGGATGGTGGTGTGGCTTCTTCATCTGACAATAAAACAACTAGGTGTTTCATTCCTCTTACTGATTCTCAAGTATGTATATGGATTCAGATACTGAAGGACACCAGATGTACTGAAAGTTATGAGCACTGTTGTGGAAACATTTACATTGGTGTCAGATTTTGTAGAAGCCAGTTTTTAAAACCCTTCTCATTATTCTTGATATCTTGTTAGCCAAAAGAATGCTGTGAATATTAACTTGATATTTTCATTCTTTGCACTGAGTATTTTAGCATATGTCTAAGACATGTATTTGCTTGCTTTTATGAAGCCATAAAGTCAAGAGTTTTTAGTAACCATCAGTCATCTGTAGAGACTGTATCCTGTATTAACATAGGATCATTGCAGTTTCAAATGTTCTACAAAGCAGACTACACGCAGATTAAACTAAAGCTGAATAGAACTAAAATATCGAAAAAAGGTGAGGCAAGATGGGGATCAACACCTTGTTGGCAGCAGATCTGGCTAATGCAGCTTGTAGAGATGTCTGTGTATCATCATCTGCTTATTTGTATTTCCTGTTCTTCACACCTTCTGTACTGCTGCTATTTTTCTCTGTCCTCTTACTGAGCTGTCCTGATTCCAGATCCTTTATTTTCTGCTGAAATTCTCTTGGAAGGGTATGTCATAAACTTTGCAAAACGACAATTTCTATTATTATTATGTTTCTCTATATAGATATATAACATACACATTGTACACATACAACACATTTTATTTGCTCCAGAACCCAACCTTAATAGCAAAGTGGGGGAGGAAGGTATTAGTGCTCATTCTTGCTATGCAGGATATGTAAATCAGTTAAAGCCACCATCATCACAGAAAATCTAATTCATGCTTTCTATACTACTACGTTACTTTTTTGTTTTCAAACCTTCTTTAATTTCACAAATTACTTGAATTCACAGTCACTGTTTTATGCAAACGGAAAACACAGTAGGATCTGTCAATGAAAATAATTCTCTTCATTTTTCCTTGTTCAAAAGACTATAAAGAAACTTCCTTCAACAGCTGTTAGAAAAATATCATTGGCATTTCTAGCCTAAGTATTTAAAACATGAAACAAGAGGAAATTAAGTGGAACTGCAAAATACCTCCACCTTCTGCCCCTGAACTACATAATGAATTTCCTGCAAGATAGGATTGTTTTATCTTTTTTGTTACCTTCAGCCATTTATCAACACACTTGGCATGGAACTCGTGGTTACAGGGTAAGACTCTAAGTAGCTGCCTTGACTCAAAATCACACATGCACACCACACACCTAAAAAAGAAAACAAAGTTCAAATGTATCTGCTGTGCAAGAACAACAAATACATATTTCATACAAAACTTTACAGGTACAACTGCAACACAGTAGCTCTTTTACCCTCTGGGGACCTACAGTTATCTATATCTATCATTGAAAACGTGTAGTGTCACAATGTAAACTGAGAATTGCTGCTGCAGTTTTTTTCCCCTGTGTTTTCAAATCACAAAGGAAGTGCTCCTGCTCACAGGAGTTCACAGACCCAACCAATAGAACAGATGCTTAATCAAAACTCAAAACAGTGGAGATAATGATCTAAACAAAGTTCACTCCCTACTGATACTAGTAAATCACACTGAGGGTCACTGAAACCGGAGTATCAGAGAAAAATCCTTACACTGAAGTTCAAACATCAGACAGCATTTGGAACTAAGGCACTTCAACTATCTTCCTATCTATACTGCCTCTTCCATGTGGTTGTACAGATCTTTCAAACACAGTAAGTTAATGGATTTAAAAAATAAGAAAATGCACTCTTAAACCACTGACCAAGCCCTATCAGGGGCACTTGAAATGTCAACATTTGAAGCTATTTTAACAAAGGCTAAATTCCAAGTTGACAATGTCACTTTAATGTCTAGTACTCTAGAACATCTTTCTTTCATTTTCATTTTTTTAATGCTGAAGAACTAAACTGAAACAGCTGAATGATGTGAGACTAGGTAGAGGTTTTAAAGTGAGGATAAATAGTATTTGATCTGGAAAGCAATCCAAGAGAAAAAGAAAAGAAAATTAAACTGTTTACTGACATGATTGCTTTTAAAGCCCTTCTGGCCTAGCTGAGGCTGCAAGTTAAAGGAATGAAAATACACCCACCTAAATTATGGACCTTTGAAAGAGACCAATGTACTTACAATGTCTGTTCTGACTGGTGGTTGTTTGGATTGAACCTGTAGGATGGAAGCTGTTCAATGTCCGCCTTTGTCAGTCCTCGTGGTTTGGCTTCTCCCAGACGCTCTGCTAAATTCAGCAGTGCCTGCAAAACATGGAAACCAGACATTTAAAAATTCACTGATAAAACAGGCTCTGGTTCCACCAGAGATGGGGCTGTGCTACACTTCACTACCCCAGCTGGCAGCACAAAACACCCTTCTATCAAGAAATGTTTAGAACCTTAGTTCTCCCCTACAACACAAGCCCCATGGAAATGCTTTCAGAATTCAACCATTCTTCTAATGGTGTAAGATGTTCTCTTTGGGATTTCAAAACTTCCAGGATCCAACATCCAATTATAGTTCTGTGGTTGCATGCACAGCTTGGTAAGTATTTTGCTTCTGAAAAATCCCCTCACTCTGCTATGAAATTAATAGTGCTGGTAAACTGAAAAAATCATCAACAAATTTCCTTCCTAAGAATATGCAAGTCTGGTCTTGTGAGAGAAACCACGAATTAAATGGGACGGGCTCTGATTCCCACTCCACATCTTGGGGTGGCTGAAATGACATATGGAGATTTTATCCTGAATCTGGAAAACAAATACATACCACCAAACTTTAAGCATTTTTTTTTTTGCTAAATTTTATATTAATTTTCTATAAGCCAAGCATTGCAACTAAAAGCCTCTCATGTGTGTAATTTGCACTCCTTCACAAGGGATCTAGGAAAAATATCACTATGAACGTGATGGAGAACCACAGCACAGAAAAGGTAAAAGACTTGGTGAAAGCTGCAAATGGTACGGACCATAAAGAGACTTCTAATACTGCCAAACCTAGGGCTCAAATTCTGAGAAATAAGATGATGCTTCTTCTGAACTAGCACAGAAGCGCTCGTTGTTAAACAGAGAATGTGAAGTACACAGAGCTCTTAAGGGTGGCA